GAAATGAGAAATAGAAGACAACATGACCAATATAATGGACCGGAAAGAAGGTATTCATCAAATTATGACCAGAGAAACCGACATCCCAGATCAACAAACGAATATAGGCCGAGAAATTACAATAATTACAATAGACAACAAAATTACGATAACAGGAATGACACACAAAATAGAACATATGAAAATCACAACAGGAATAGAGATGCACAAAATCCTCCGAATAGGAATACTAACGAACAAAGGGACGATAGAAATAATCAGAGCTTCCAACAACAAAATAGAAGGGAGATGAATCATGTAGCAATAGGAAACGAAAGACAAATTTCTAATTCTAATCTAATATTTTTAGATGCATTTATAAAACATAAAGCGATTAAAATTGTGATTGATTCTGGATCGGAGATATCGCTAATCAATAAAAGACTAGTAAAAGCATTAAATTTGGACAGATTTGTGTATAAGATTCCTAGGGTTGATTTAGTGGGTGCAAACAATAAAAATTTGACGACAGTAAACGAAGGTTTGGGAGTACAGATAAGAGTGGGAGACAAATTCCATATTATGAAATGTGTGGTGATTGAAGATTTAAATCATGATATGATAGCGGGAATTGATGAATTGAGGAAAAAAGATATCACCATAAATTTTTCGGAAAATAAACTGGAAATCAGAGCAGAACCAGACAACATAGAAGAAGAAAAGCAAACAGATAGGAAAACAAATTCTGGAAGGATCAATGCACAGGAAAAACGCAAAGAAATCGATATAACTGTGGAGGATAAACCGAAAGTACAAGAACAAAATCTAACAGAAGAGAAAAAGATAAGGAAGAAAAAGAAGAAGAGTTCGAAAAGAAAGCAGGAAAATAAGATGGAGACAAGAGAAAAACAGGAAATAGAAGGTACAGAAGAATTGTCGGCAACCGACGATAAAACAGAATGGAAGCAGGAAGAAAAAGAAGGTATCATCAAAAAATGAAAGGAATAGAAACATGGTGCTCGGAATACCAAAGGGAATTAGAGGATAAAAAGAAAACAGAAGAAAAAATGGCACTGATGGACGAGAATCCAGAATTTTGTGAAGAAATACTATGGGCAGTGAACACATGTGAACAAAGGGAGGATGAAAGAAAAATAAATTGTGGAGAAAACATGGGAAAGAAAATAGAGAAGATTTTTGGAAACCATGGAGATCTTGTTAATGAAGTAAACCGAGTGGCTAAAAATTATGAACTTTCTTTTAAGGGAAAATACTTGGAAAAATTTAAAACGAAAATATATCCAATCCCGTATAAAGACAGGCAATATACGGGGTATTTTAACATTCACGACATTTATCAGTATCATAAGTAGATTTTAATAACATAGTGAAATAATTTGATCCTAGAAAACTTTTGTCATTTTTAAAATTTAACAAAGAGTTTTCGGCAGATCAAATGGCGGGGATTTGTTATGATATGTAAAATCGAGAAAAATATTGGTTTGATTAAAATATTTCAAAGTTCAAAAACATTAAAATAATTCAGATAAGTAGGATAATAACCAACAAACATTTCGAAGAAGGAAAGTTTTTAAATTTTTGGATTACCTGTATTAAACAAAATGTAAGCTATGCATAAATTATTTCCTTTGTTATACTATACTTGAGTGACCCGCATAATTTTAAGTGAAATCCAAAGAACAATTGAACCGGGTTTTCCAAATACATTAACGCAGCGATTAAAGACAATAGAAGAGATTTTAGAAAGAGGTTTTTGTTAGTTTTTAAGAATTGTAGAAAAATATTATTTGTAAATAAGTTTTAGGAAATTTTATAATTATAGGTAAAAAGTTGTTTGTTATCGAAATGAAAAAATGGGGAAATTGTGACGAGTTTGATTGGCGGAGATTGAAAAAGGTGGGATAGGTATGTAGGAATGAAAGTTTAGCTAGATTTGGAGTGAGAAAAGATAGTCAGTTGGTTTCCAAGGGTGCAAGGCGAACGGCCGTTGTTCTCGGGTAGTTTCCCAGAGGTAGGAAGCAGTAGCAGTGAAAGTTTGTGAGTTTTCGTGTAGTTAGTGTATCTGACAGAAGCTGATCCAGTAAAATATTGTAAGTCATATTTTTCTACTTATATTCCAAGAGTCACTGTTCAGGCCAACGAGAGATTCAGTTTATTGAGAGAAGAAGAAGCTAGCATAATTTGAACGATTCGTGCATTTGAAGGAGATCATTAAGGACGATATACTTGCAATAATTTGTTGTAAGATTGCTGATTACCTAGGGAGCGGCCACGAGTAAATAATATAGTCTACAAATAACAAGGATTTGGACCACTCATCATCAGAGAGAGATAGTTTTGTTTTCTGCAGTTTTTCTTTCATTGATAACACAATTTTTACACTTAATTTAGAAAGGATATAAATATTTTGATTAGGAGATTTAGAATAATATTGGATTTTGAGATTTCAACTAATATTGTTTGTACCATTAATTTTGAAGGTTCACGTACGTAGAACAAAATTTTGAGAATCATTATATGAGATTTTGTTTATTGAAAACATTTGAGTGTGAATTATTTCATTATTTTATTTCAATATATAGTGTTATATCATATGTGTTTTTTATTATTCCGGTATTCTTTGGACCTTACCTTTCACATGTAATAGCATAGATATTGAAGCACGAATTTAACCCTGAGATAAAAGAATTAAAAATTGTGATAGAGTCATAATCATATCATTTAAATAATTTTAATTAATCAAAAAAATTAATTAGCTAATTATTGCTTGGCGCACCAAGACTTTAAATATCACAATAATATATATATATATATATATATATATATATATATATATATATATATATATATATATATATATATATATATATATATATATATATATGTATATATATATGTATATATGTACATATATATATATATATATATATATATATATATATATATAAATATATCTATATATATATATATATATATATATATATATATATATATATATATATATGTTTTTAATCTATGACATATATGATAACTTATATTCTTTAAAAACACAAGTACAAAGACGAAGAGAATGATCAACGGAAAGAAAAATAGTCATAGTTCTGAAAAACCTGTCTGATATATTAATGACGTAAGACCAATTAAGTTGCATTTACACACTATCGGTTCGGTCTACTTTTGAATTTTTACAAAATTTGCGCTTTGTAGTGTCCAGTGTCCACTGCACCCTTTTTACAGATATATAGGCGAATGAGCAGCGTTATCATCAATCTCGTTGCCAGTATTTTATTTTGCCTTACAACCATAACAAAGTTAGTTTATGAGATCCGGCCCTGAATGTCAGGCATGAAAGTCGACTTAATTCAAGCTCCACAACTTTTATAGTTTTTAATAGAAGAAGTATAAATTTAAATAATTAAAAATGATACGTTAGTCTACTGTCATCGCATTGTCTCTCTTCCACAGAATCTTCCATTGTCTTGGTATTTACTTCTCTTCTTACTTTTCTTGGCCTTTTTGAGTTGTATCTTCTGTCCCGAAAACCTTGTTTATTTGTTCTCCTGTAATTGGTATTTTCTCTAGAATTTGTATACGTGTTCCTATCACGATTTTCTCTGAGTCTGTCTCTGTTCCATTGTTGGTTCCTTGGTCGTAATTTTCTCATCTGTTTTCTCGGTTCTCATATTTTCTTCTCGGAATAAATTCTCTTTGTGGTCTTTCTTGACGATAATTCTGTAATCTTAATCTCTTGACAATCAATATCTTTATAATTTTGCAAAGTAACATGATTTTCTAAGGTTTCTTCGAAATATCTTGCAATTAGTTGTACCAATTTTTCTGATGAATAATTATATTCCAAATGTTTGGCATTGTTCGCCAGTGAAATCCGTGAAAGTTTGGACAATTATATCAACATGTTTACAGATGAAATAAGCACAAAATAAACGAAAAAATCAATGTATAGTTAATTCACGATTTTAAAGTTTTATTTTATAATGAAAATTTGTACAGCTAATACTACTATAAATTTTAATATACCTATATATTTATTAAATTTGAAAAAGGAATTTTTCAATAATCGATTTGGTCATTGGAGCTGTATTATTTAAAGCCACAGGTAAAGATAAAATCAATCAATAGATTGGCCCTTGCACACATGTTCCACGGTTAATATTTTAGCGGCTGATAGCAAGTAGGAGGATACTGCTTAAAATCAATATTGGTTCATAAAAAAATGAAAGGCAATGTGGCTCTGTGGTGGAAACTACGTGGATTTCCAGACTAGCCTCGTAAATTCTAAATTTCCTTTCAGAAACTATCAGAAATGGTTTAAATAAGTTAGTAGATTTATTAAACAAAGTATGGAGGTAAAACACGCACTTTGATAAAAAAACATTCAGGCGCAGTAGACTTTATAGAAGGTATAGATGAATTAAGCCTAGCCTACGAGAAAGATAAACAAGATCTTCTAAGAGCTTTATCAGAATTACTAGGATACCATGCGTTGCTATAATACTGAAATAACAACAAAAATTGGGAATCGTATACAAAATTTAGCGGAGATTTTAAGAAAGCTTTCTATCCCAGAGGATATTTGCTCCAATTGGAGGGACAAATTAGAAATACTAAGCAAAAGTAAAACAAGTCAGCGGATAGATATATCATAGACAATTTAATTACAAGAATATAAAGCTATAGAAGACAAAAAAAAATTTCAGACATTTTCAGTAAATTAAAATCTTCTTAAATACAGCCTCAAATGAGAATCATGCGAAAGATACGAGCTTTAGGTGCAATATGCCAGGTCACACCCGTAAAAATTTCCAAAATTAATGGAAAAAATTCTGTTCACGTTGCGGCAAAGATGGAGTTTACACCAGTGACTTCTGTATAAGGCGCCAGGAAAAGGAATTACATACTGGAGAAATAAGGAGACGTCTCAGTCTGCGGAGCAAAATTCGACTATATTCGTTCTTACCGTTAAACAACCAGCGAACAACTACTTTCGACTTTTTGTATAATTAAAAATCGGACATAAAACTTCTTCTTCTTAAAGTGCCCTCTCCTCAATGGAGGTTGGCTACTACAATTTTAAACTCTTCTCTATCTTCAGCTGTTCTTATTAGCTGTTCAAAATTTAGTCCTGTCCATTGTCGGATGTTTCTGAGCCACGATAGTCTTTTCCTTCCTAGGCCTCTCTTTCCCTCGATTTTTCCTTTCACTATAAGTTGGGCATATCGGTACTTATTATTTCTCAGTATGTGACCTAGGTATGATGTTTTTCTAACTTTTACTGTGTTAAAAAGTTCTCTTTCCTTGCCTATTCTATGCAGCACTTCTTCGTTTGAGGTATGCGATGTCCATGAAATTTTGAGTATTCTCCGGTAGATCCACATTTTAAAGGCCTCCAATTTATTTACAGTTGATGTTTTAAGGGTCCACGTTTCAACTGCATATAGAAGAGTCGACCAGACGTAGCATTTTGATAAACGTAGTCGAATTTCGAGTTTTATTCCAGAATCACAAAGCAGTTTTTTTTTATTTTTTTCGAAAGATTTTCTGGCGTGTTCTATTCTCGATGTTATTTCTAGATCAGGATTTAGGCTGCTATCGATCCAACATCCCAGGTAATTAAATCTGTTAACCTGTTCTAAAATGTGCCCATTTATTGTGCAAGGTTGAGGTACGTTTTGGTTTTTTCGGATTGGCATCACTTTGGTTTTTTTAATGTTTATTTTCATACCAAATTGCTCTCAGGTCGAGTTGATCTTGTCGATGAGTCATTGTAGACCTAAGTCGGAATCCGCAATTAACACTGTATCATCGGCGTATCTGATACTGTTGATATTTACGCCATTCACATTGACTCCATCCTTGGAATCCATAAATGCTTCTTTAAATAGAAACTCGGAGTAAAGATTAAACAGCAGAGGCGACAGAACACATCCTCGTCTAACTCCCCTCCTAATTTCTACTTCTGCGGATGTGGAACCTTCAATCCTAACTCTGGCGTTTTGGTTCCAGTACAAGTTTTTTAAGAATTTGATGTCTTTTCCATCTAAACCGACTTCTTGCAAACGTTCTAATAGTAGGTCGTGTCTTACTCTATCAAATGCTTTTTCGAAGTCTATAAAGCATATAAATATATCTTTCTGTTGGTCGTAGCATTTTTGGGCGAGAACTAGCAAACTGAACAGGGCTTCTCTCGTTCCAATGCTGGCTCTGAATCCAAACTGATCGTCTCCGATGATTGTTTCGCACTTTCTCTAGATACGTTTATGTACGATTTTTAGTAGGACTTTTACTGCATGACTCATAAGTCTTATCACACGGAACTCATTGCAGTGTTGTGGGTTTGACTTTTTTGGTAGTGGGATGAATATGGACTCCAGCCAATCTTGGGGTATTTTACCTGTATCATAAATGCGATTGAATAAAAGGACAAATATTTCGAAATTTTCTTCGCTGATTAATTTTAACGTTTCTGGGTATATTCCGCCTGGACCTGGGCTTTTATTTGTTTTGAGATGATTAATTGTATTTATGATTTCAGATTTCAGAATTGTTGGCCCTTCGTTGTTATTTTCCAATCTTGGTTCTTCTCGTATGTCGTGAAAAAGAATTTTAATATAGTTTACCCATTCTTTCAGTTTATCTTCCGTTGATTCTAGCAGTTTGCCATCCGTGTTCAGCATGGTGTAAAAAGTCGTTCTCTTGGTAGTCGATGTAAACGCTTTTACCTTTTTATGTAAATTAAAAAAATCGTGCCTTTGTTGCAGTTCTTCTATTTCAACGCATTTTGTTTCCAGCCATTTCTCTTCTGCTTCGGATATTTTTTTTCGAATTATTTTATTTAGTCTTTTGTATTCTTCGTCCTTGTCATTTTTTTTCCTTTAGATTCTCTTCGTTTGTTCATTAATTGTAAAATCTCTTCTGTCATCCATTCCTGTTTGTTATGTCTAGGTGTTACTTTTAGTAAATGTTTGTATTTTTTCAGTCTCTGGAGAATAGTTATGTTACTTGTGTGGTGTATATATACCCTATGCGTATATATAGTACTATATTTCAAATGTCTCCAATTGTTTTATGGCATCTTCTGTAAGGTTCCAGCTTTCTACTTCATTAAGAAGGACACTAAAGACGTAATATCTAAGAATTTTTATGCGTATAATAATACTTTAAGATAAGTTGCAGATAATCTTCCTAAGGCTGTTTCTGGCTTCTGGCTTTTTCAATAAGAGTTTTTATTTCGTAGCTGTGATTCCAAGTATCCTTAATATTGCAGCCTAAATAGCATATTTTTTCCACTCTTTCGAACGGTGAATCGTTAATTGTAATTTGGACGTTTATGCCGGTGTTTTCACTAATGATCATTATTTTTGTCTCCTTGCAATTTAGTTTTAGGCCGTATTTGATACTTGCTTCTACAACGTTATCCATCATCCTTTGGAGCCCCTGCGCACTATCTGCCAGCCACACTGTATCGTCTGCATATCTAATGTTGTTTAAAAGTTGGCCACATACAGCAATCCCATCTTCTGATTCATCCAAGGCTTCTCTAAAGATATTTTTAGAGTATACCTATATTAAATTATGCCGGTGACAATATGCAACCCTGTCTAACTCCTTTTTCGAGTGTAAAGATCTCGGACATAAAACTTATAAAGCGCTAATTAATAAAGGGACTATTAAAAATTATGCCAGAGACAAAATTACACAGGCATACAAGGACTCTCTAGAAAGCTATATTGAAAAAACAAAACTAGCGAATGGTTTATCGATGAAACTAAATAAAAAATTTGCTATCGTGGTAATATCGAAGATACTCGCAAGAGCGTTTAAGTCATCAACAAGAAGTCTTTCGACAACTAAAAGGGCTACATTACAGCCTCTTTGCAACTTGCAAAAATGCACATTTTGCCAGCCAGAACTGAGATACTTGGGATACGTTGTTGGAACAGAGGAAGTAAAAACCGATTAGGAGAAAAACAGCTATAGCCGTACTTGAGGCATCAAAAAATATTCGTCGGCTCTACCGTTTTCTAGGAATATCTTCATCATACCGTCGATTCATAGAAAACTATTCATGTTCTGCATAATACTGATCTTGAGAATCCTACCACCCATTATTCTTCATTACCTTATTTTCCTCAAGTTACTGAAAAGCTTATTAAATTGTATAAACAGAATAACATACCAGTAAAAATTGCTGTCAAGAATGCGAAAACTGTTAGAAATTTGTTCTCTAAAACTAAAACACCCTTGTCCACTTTGGAACAAGTTAACACAATTTATCAAATTCCATGCGCTAATTGCGATTTATGTTACATTGGTCAGACTGGTAGATCATTAAAAGGTCGTCTCACTTCACATCGTAGTGACATTAATTTATCAAAACACACTTGTGCCCTGGCACAACACGCGATAAATACCAAACATGAAGTGTATTTCAATAAAGTTAAGATTCTTGCCACTGAACGCAATCTAGCTAAAAGACAGTTTTTGGAAATGTGTTCAATTCTAAAACATCCTAATGCTTTAAATAAGAGAACTGACATAAATAACTTGAGCCAAATATATCATGCTTTAATTTTGCAGAATTAGGCTTTATGATCTTTTCACTATATTAAATGTCATATAAGGTGTTCTACTTGAACTCTTTTTCCAAATTTCATTAAATAATTGAAATACATAAAATAGAAATAAAATACATAAAATAATTAAATAAAATAAAATAATTAAATATTCATTACTTAACTTATTATAACATATGCAACTTACATTGCGTTTTCATGCACTGATTAGTTAGATTAGTGTGAACACTTTACTTAAATAACATAATTCAAATATTGTAATTGATTCATAGAATCCTTTACAAACTACAGTTCCAAGTGTTTGAACCTTGGGCTGTTGGAAGTTAATTTATCGTTAACCACCTGTGGCTGATTATCTAGCCATATTGATTAACGTATTACTTATATATGAGGTTGAATGAAAATCTCCTGTTTGTAAGTCTAGACTGATTAATGAGAGGAGTCGCTATTACAATACCAATTTCTTTCAATGGTTTGTCTTTTGCAACCGGGTAGCCATCCAAACTCATTAAAACTTTTAAATTGACCGCCCAATTATTTGGGTTGGCACCTCCACCTTGCTGATCTGTCAAATGTATTTTTGACCTCAAGGTTGGCTGTCTTTTTGCGGTTTAGTTCGTTCTGGTTCATCTAACGCCATTTTTCCGGCGACAGCTGTAGAGCTTTGATCGGTAACTTCATTTACACTACTTTTTTAAATTAAAATTTTTTATTAATATCACTTATAATGCTACCTAAAGTTAAAATCAAAGCTTAAAAATCATTAAATAGTTGGAAGTTGTCTATGATTTTCTTGGTTCTTTTTCACTAATTAATATTAAATAACATTTCATTTAAATTAGACCACATGGTCAATTGCTGTGCTAATTTTTATAAGTTCTTATATGTTATTAGTTACTTGATTGTTTATACAATATCAGCGTATTATGTCCATTTACTTAAGTTCCATTCACATTATTGTTAATAACTTTGACTGCTACATGTCTTTTTAAGGTAACAATTAACATCGTTTCCATGATTGTGTGGTTCTCATATTGTACTTTTTAGATGACCTGATGATGCTTTCAAAACTCGAAAGCGAAACGTCTTCAAAATAGATAAAATAGCCTATCAACTTTGTCTTTTATTTCTCCACCTTGAGACCGATATAAGAACCCACCACTCGTCTGAGTGATCCTTATATATATTGATATACGTAGTACTATATTTCATATATATTATATATATATATATATATATATATATATATATATTGATTGAGGTCGTATATATTTCGATATATTATATATATATATATATATATATATATAATATATATATATATATATATATAATATATATATAATATATATATATATATATATATAATATATATATATATATATATATATATATATATATATATATATATATATACTCTTAGACGACTCCTTATTTCTCCAGTATGTAATTCCTTTTCCTGGACAGCAGTCACTGCTGTAAACTCCATCTTTCCGCAACGTGAACAGAATTTTTTCCATGGATTTTGGAAATTTATACGGGTGTGGCCTGGCATATTGCACCTAAAGCACGTATCTTTCGCATGATATTATCCTTTGAGGCTGTATATTAAGAAGATTTTAATTTACTGTAAATGTCTGAAATTTTTTTTTGTGTTCTATGGCTTCATATTCTTGTAATTAAATTGTCTATGATATATCCATCCGCTGACTTGTTTTGCTTTTGTTTTTGCTTCCTATTTCTAATTTGCCCCTCCAATTGGAGCAAATATCCTCTGGTATAGAAAGCTTTCGTAAAATCTTCGCTGAATTCTGTATACGATTCCCAATGTTGTTATTGCAGTATCTTAGCAACGCATGGTATCCTAGCAATTCTGATAAACCTCTTAGAAGATCTTGTTTATCTTTCTCGTAGGCTAGGCTTAAGTCGTCTATACCTTCTATAAAGTCTACTGCGCCTGAGTGGTTTTTTATCAAAGTACATGTTTCACTTGCATACAAGAAAAAGTATAAAACTTAAAAAGGAAAATCAGACAGCAGAATCAAATTGGCGTCAGTAATATTCGGCAAATTAAGCTTTGTTTAAAAAAATATTCACAATCTTATAACGAAAATAGTCTTCAAGCTTGTAAAGGTAAATATTAATAA